CCTTGTGCCCCTAAACAAGCCAGGAGGTGTGGCAGGTGGTAGAGCCCCTGCACAGCTCAGTGCAGAGATGATGGGAGCGCTGAATGGCGATAGGCCAGCAGCAGCGCTCCCCAACGTGGGCAGGGTGCCGCGGGGGAGAAAGGGAGAACTCTGCTGCTGTGGGCAGGTTCGAGCCACGCAAAGGATGTATCCCACTACGCGCAAGTCCTCTTGGGCTCCAGGTCCTGCTTTTTGGGTGGTCTCAGCATGGGGTGGGCTGTGGAGGAAGGGTCTGGCTGCCACCCCCAGCCAAGCGCCACTAACAGCTCCTGCCCCCTCCAGGGCAGCTCTTCTCCCCAGCAGGTATCGCACCCCTGCTACCCAAAGGGATACCAGGAGAACGTCACCGCTGCAGCCCTCTACGACAGCCCGTGTGTCCCCACGCCGAGCACAGCCAGCCCTGCACAGGTCTTCACGGTGACGGGGACAGGAGACCCAGCAGCGTGCAAGACAGCCATCGAGAAACTCTTCAACTTCAGCTGTGGGGCCCACAGGACGTGTGGGTTCAACGGCATTTATCAGCCCCCTGTGCAGGGGCAGTTCTTCGTAAGGACCCCTCCTTCCATGTGATCGTGATGTGGTTGTGCTGTTTCTGGGGAAGCAGAGTCTGGCAAAGGCCCAGGAGAAAATGCTGGCAAGAAAGCAGGAGAAATCAGGATAGCACCAGTGATTACTGACTCCCTCAAAACTATGATGTGGTCAATGCATAAGTGCTCACTCGGGAGTCAGACAGATTCTGACCTCCTAGGTGCTCAGTTCTCACATCATCTCTCACTATTTCAGTGTTGGGAGCAGTCACCAGGTCTCTTAGACAGGCAGTATCATGCGACGCTGCACGGAGAAGCGGCCCTTGCTTAGGGACCCCCACAAAGCTCATGGAATGAAGTACAAGTGGGAAGAAGGACCTAGTTGCTTTACAGATCTATCACCTTTCCTCTTAAACACCCACAGGCCTTTTCTGGGTTTTATTACAACCTACACTTTCTGAACTTGACCAGTGGGCAGTCCTTGATGTCAGTCAATGCCACCATCTGGGTCTTCTGTGCCAAAGACTGGGAGGAGGTAAGACTCTGCCTAGGATCTGTCAGATCCACCCTTGTTGGGCAACTTTCAGGGCTGGGCACAGGCAGAGAGTTTTCAGGGCCAGTCTGCAGCCCATCTTCCATTGTGCACATGGGCAGCTGGAGGGACCTGACAGGAGCACAGAGTTTCTCTCCAAACTTAGGGGCTCCTAGGTCTTTGCTCCAGTTTGCTCTGCAGAACCATTCCCCACGGCTGGGTGCACTGAGCGCTGCTCCACCCTAGCAGCCCGATCTTGCTCTTCTCTGTCTGCAGGTGCAGAAGGATTTCCCTTATGTGGACAAGGCCTATCTCCGTAATTACTGTGCAGCCAGCTCCTATGTTCTCACTCTCCTGCTGCAAGGCTACAAATTCAATGGCAAGACATGGCCCAACATTCACTTCATCCAAAAGGTAGGAAAACTTGTAGCTGTAGCTGGCGTTTATGTTTTGCACCATTAAATGGGTTGCATCCACCCTGTGACTCCCGGGTGAGGGAGCAGGGGATAACAAAGTGTCCCAGTCCTCTGCCCTCTGGTAGAGGCAGTGAGAAGCGCATACTCTTGAGCAGCTCTTGAGTTATGTTCACAGGCACCTGTTGGGACATCTGTAGTTGCAAATGCCAGTCTGGAATTTCTTGTCTTGCTGATGGGATATTTGCAGCCCAAGGTGTGTGAGGGCTCTGTGGCGGTGGAGCAGGCTCTTGAAGTGCCATGGCAAAGATATTCTCTAGCTTGCCTGGTACTTTGCAACCCTTCATGTTCTTTTCTCTCCATCTGCTCAGGTCACTAACACAGATGTGGGTTGGACCCTGGGCTACATGCTCAATCTCACCAACATGATTCCCTTGGAGACTCCTCAGCGAGGCATAGCGCTCCAAAGAAACATCTGGATAGCAGCCACAGTTGTACTATTTATCATGCTATTCCTCTGCTTCTGGCTGTTCATGGCCATATGTCACCAGAGAAAATTAGCCAGTTACGAGACCTTCTAGTAATGCCAGCCCCAGAAGCTGTCAAAGCTCCTTGGTCCTGCTTGGTCCTTGGTCCTTGGTCCATTGCTTGTGTGAGGAGGTGCAGAATGGAGGAATTCCACCCACGTCCAGGAGCTACAAACTTGTAATGTAGGGTTCCAGCACCCCAACCTGGTGACCTGGAACTGAAAAGACTTTATAAAATCTGTTACTGTGTGCTGTGTGGTTTTCCTTTCCCCTTCTGGTTAAAGATACTTAGGAAGAGATGACAGCTCTGTGGGTCAGGCACTCAGCACTGAGGTTGAGGAGACAGCAATGAGAAAGTGCAGTTGGGGATGATGGGAACTGTGAGTCAAGGAAGAGAAAAACAGCATCTGGCAGCAAAGAGATCCTTCTAGGACTGCTTATTGCTGGCAAAATTTCCCCAAGTGAAGCAGGCTTAAAAAGGTCCTGCCCTGTCTGAGGGCAAGGACCTGCATCTTGTGCGGCCGGTACCAAGGAGCAGAGCAGCCCTAACCAGCCTGCTAGGTGGGACTTGGGCTCTCTTATCATCTCAAGCACTGGGACTTATTCAGGGATTGAATGTGCCCAGGGTGGCTGGAGGCCAAGAGCTGCTCTGCCGCTGACGGAGTGGCTAAAGTGAGTTGAGGACACGCAGGCTCTCAGAAGGAAAAGATTCTTGTCCTGCTGCCCTGATGGCTCCCTTCAGAGGTCTGGAAAACACTGTGAGGTCTCCAGGGTTGAAGGCAGTATCCACCAAGTGACACTTGTTCCTGACCCCCATCATCTGAGAACTGGCTGGATGGCAGAGCTCAGAGGCTTGTGATAAATGGTGCAGTCTAGTTGGAGGCCTGTGGCCAGCAGTGTCCCCCAGGGGTCAGTACTGGGTCCAGTGCTGTTCAATTTATTCATCAACAACTTGGGTGAGGGCACAGAGGGCACCCTGAGCAAGTTTGTGGATGATACCAAATTGGGTGGAGTGACTGACACTCCAGACAGGTTGGATAGTCGGGCAGAGAGGAACCTCATGAGGTTCAACAGGGACAAGTGCAGGGTCCTGCACCTGGGGAGGAATAACCCCAGACACCAATACAGATTAGGGATTGACCTGCTAGAAAGGAGCTCCGTGGAGAGGGATTTGGGAGTCCTCGTTGACAACAGGTTAATTATGAGTCAGCAATGTGCCCTTATGGCCAAGAAGGCCAGGATCCTGGCTGCATCAGGAGGAGCGTTGCCAGCAGGTCGAGGGAGGAGATCCTGATCCTGTCCCTCTCCTCAGCTCTGGGGAGGCCACACCTGGAGTATTGGGTGCAGTTCTGGGCTCCTCAGCACAAGAGGGATGTGGAGCTTCTAGAGAGGGTCCAGTGCAGAGCAACAAAGATGATCAAAGGACTGGAACATCTATCGTATGAGGAAAGACTAAGTGAGCCGGACATGTTTGGTCTGGAGAAGACTGAGAGGGGATCTTATGAATATGTACAAATACCCAAGGGGAGAAAGTAAAGATGATGGGGCCAGACTCTTCTTAGTGGTGGCCAGTGGCAGAACAAGGGGTAATGGGTAGGAACTGAAACACAGGAAGTTCCATCTCCATGTGAGGAAGAACTTCTTTCCTGTGAGGGTGACAGAGCCCTGGCACAGGCTGCCCAGAGAGGTTGTGGAGGCTCCTTCTCTGGAGATCTTCCAAACCCACCTGGATGCCACCTTTTGCCACATGCTCTGGGTGCCCTTGTTTGAGCTGGGGGTTTGGTCTAAATGATCTCTAGAGGTTCCTTCTAATCTTAGCCATTCTGGGATTCTGTGATCTGGGAAAACCACTTAGTGGAATCACGTCCTGACTGGACTGGCTTGCTCAGACCTCACACGAGTATCTCTGGGTAGTGTTGCGCTGTACCTTAAGACATCTTTATCCTTTTGGGGCACCACCACAAAATACAGAGTGTTCCTCAAATCTGTTACCTGTAACCCTGAGCAGTATTTAAAAAGGGCTGAATTTTGCAAAGCAGCTACCCATGGCCAAGGTGCTTGTTCTACCCCCTCACCTCAATTCTCCCATTACCACCACTTGCCTGGGATGGACAAGCATTAAAATCCTTTTGATTCAGGAGCAAAAGAACAAGAATTTCCATCTTGGGTGCATTTTAGAACATTTATTTCTATCATATTTATTTCTGAAATAGAAGAGCTAAAAGCCAGGGAAGAAAAATCTGCAGAGATGGTAAAGGTCAGCTCGTCGCTGGTAGAAGGTGAATGTGTGGCTGGCAAACGCCTAGATGGATAATTGGCAGGACAGGATGGATAATTGGGCAGCTAGTAGATGAGCAAAAAAAAATGGCAAAGGCAGGACAGCATTCACAGATGGCAAATCTCCCCAAATCTGTGCCCATCTCCACACAGGTCTTCTAGCCTCGTGGAGGCTCAGTTTGGCATCCAGGGCACATGTACCTTGTGCTGGTGGGTCAGAGACTGGTATTCAGGAACAGAAATCCAGAGCCTGGCACGCCTCCAGGTGGAAAGATTTGTCAGGGAGCTTCCTGACTGGCCTTAGAGGCAGCGCTGCCCCAAGCAGCCTGTCAGCAGGTGCCTATTGCTGTGCACTAAGAGCCCAGCACTTGGGGAGCTCTTCCACGGCCAGGCTGCCTTTGCAGAGGCCCCAGCTCCAGCGTGTGGCATGAAGGCCACACGAGGAACA